GTCTCGATCTCTTGACCTCGTGATCCACCCGCCTCAGCCTCCCAAAGTGCTGGGATTACAGGCTTGAGCCACCGCACCCGGCAAAAGTTATATATTTTAAGTAAAAATTCCATCTAGAAAATAACAACATTCACAAATAATTTCAAATCTGTGGAAGAACAGAATACGAGTACACTTATGCACCACAGAACATTTCAATGAGGCACCACACGTATGACAGTCGTTCCACAGATTCAAATCCTGTATTTTTAACTGTATCTTCTCCATGTTTACATATTTAGATACACGAATATTTACCACTTTATTACAACTGCCTACAGTACCCAGTAAAGAAACATGTTACACAGGTTTGTAACAGGCTATAGCACACTTAACCTAAACATGTAGGAGACTCTACCATGTTGATTTAAGTACACTCTGTAATGTTCACACAAGAACAAACTCACACAAGAATGACTCTACCGTGTCGATTTGTGTAAGTACACTCTGTAATGTGCTGTAATGTTCACACAAGAACGAACAATAACAAATGATACATTTCTCAGAATGTATTCATGTTGTTAAACAACACATGACTGTATGCCACAGAAACAAAAAAGTATAACATTAAAATAAATTAAGATAATACCTGGCATAATTGATCTAATAAACAAATGTACAAACAATAATCAAAATCATATTCTAGTATCTAAAAAATAAGGTTTCAGTACCATCTTGAATGAAGTTATAAATATACCCGGAAAAATCAATTTAATAACAAAGACAGGTTAATATATCTAGCTGGAAGGGGACATTCAGATCATTAAAAACAATTTTGGCTGGGCGCAATGGCTCACACCTGTAATCCCAGCACTTTGGGAGGCTGAGATGGGTGACCACTTTGGGAGGTCGGGAGATCGAGACCATCCTGGCCAACATGGTGAAACCCCGCCTCTACTAAAAACACAAAAATTAGCTGGGTGTGGTGACACAAACCAATAGTCCCAGCAATTCAGGAGGCTGAGGCAGGAGAATCACTTGAATCAGGGAGGCAGAGGTTGCAGTGAGCCGAGATTGCATCACTGCACTCCAGCCTGGTGACAGAGTGACACTCCATCTCAAAAAAAAAAAAAAAACTTTACCCAAATTAGAGGAGTTAGTAAGATTTGATATTAAATGCCAGAAAATAATTAAATCACTACAATAACTCACTAAACTCCCTAACATATTTACACTTAAAAATATGCAGTTTTTAACTTGAATTCAAATACCATGCAGTATATAATATACCAGGTATCATTCACAGGTGTAATGGTGATTTTCTAACTTTTCTAGTTTTATAATTACTCTTCAAATCAAGAGTTGAGTTTCAGAATAAAAACACTTCACTTTTCACAAACAATTTTCAAAGAATTGTTGGGTTAATTAGAATTCTATAATCCATCACTGCCCACATTTACAAAAGCCATGCTACTACACTGCTTTCAGAAATAGAAATGAACAGTTTCTGGTTCATTACCAACTTACCAAACATCTGGCAAATTCTTTGTTTTCTGAAAGGAATCCATAACCTGGATGTACCTTAGAAATGAAAGCAAAAAGCACTTTAAATTTTATCATATTGCAAAAGCTTTATAAGCAAAATGTACAGTGCATTTATGTATTAATATTTACTGTTCAAGAGCCCTTGAATAAGTATACTTCTCTTATACACTGCTCAGTTCTAACTCACATTTCTAGGATCAGAAACAAATTCCAAGAAACTGCCTCCTATATTCACTTTCTCCACACTACCTTTGCCCTAATTTATTCATTTTCCACTCACCACCTTTGCCCTAACCATAATGGTGAGTCTATGCCCACGTATCTTCCTGCCCGGTGGCATTTGTCTACACTATTCAACAAAACTCTCTCTCCTTTTCCTGAGGCTAACTTTGTCCACAAGTCTGGAGAATTACACAATGGTGTCAAAGAGTTATGTAAAAGAAACCTTTGCCAAGATGGGTGAAAAACACTAAATTCTCCTTTGTTTACAGTACCCATGAACTACTACTTTCCAAAACCCAGACTATTAGGACAGTTAACATATTTTATTCCTGATGGCATTAACAATACTAAGCCACTACCAATGAGCCCTTTCTATCAAACTTAACTAAAATGGAGGTGTGGTTTTACTTTTATTTTGTGCTCTGAATTCTTTTTTGTCTAATGTCTACTCTTCTTTCCTTCCTCACCCCAAATTTTGCCATTCACAACTACTTTCTGCTATCCTCACCCACAAGGCACATTGCTACAATCTACCAGCCTGATCTAATCAGGTAATTTTTGGCTCTGCCACACTGACTGGCCAAACATAAATTTAGCCACTTCAGTATTAGCCAGTGTTGAATATACTTCTAGTAAAATAATTCTGCTAAAAAAGAAAGTCAAATTTCTGGCTCAGGGCAGTGGCTCACACCTGTAATCCCAGCACTTGGGGAGGCCAAGGCAGGCAGATCACGAGGCCAGCCTGACCAAAATGGTAAAGCCCCATTTCTACTAAAAATACAAAAATTAGCCAGGCATGGTGGTGCACACCTGTAATCCCAGCTACTTGGGAGCCTGAGGCAGGAGAATCACTTAACCTGGGAGGCGGAGGTTGCAGTGAGCCAAGATCACGCCACTACATTCCAGCCTAAGCAATACAGCAAGACCATCTCAACAGAAAAAAAAAAAAAAAAAAAAAGAAAGTCAAATTTCTGAAGGAACCAGTATCATAATACAAAAATAGCTATGTATCAGTGACTTTTAAATGCTGAACTCATACTAGGTGCAGTGGCTCACCCCCGTAATCCCAACACTTTCAGAGGCTAAGGCAGGCAGATCACCTGAGGTCAGGAGTTCAAGACCAGCCTGACCAACATGGTGAAACCCTATCTCTACTAAAAATACAAAATTAGCCAGGCATTTGGCAGGCACCTGTAATCCCAGCTACTTGGGGGGCTGAGGCAGGAGAATTGCTTGAACCCAGGGGGACGGAGGTTGTACTCCAGCCTGGGCAACAAGAGCAAAACTCCATCTCAAAAAACAAACTAAAATAAATGCTGATTTAAGCTTTATGAACATGATACAGAAGAATTTAAACTGCTATATCATGGAAAAAGAGTTTTCATTCTACCAACTTCATTTTATCAACACTCAACTACAGATTTATTTTGGCAAACTATAGTTAAAGGGTTAAACGAGTTTTACCTCCATTAACTGTGCTAATAAACTGTAAACATCTATAATATGGGTTCATGAATTAAGTTTTTTTATTTAAACATGCATCTTACTAAAACATTTCTTTCAAAAGAAATGTGAGCACTAATTGAAGCACTCCAGACTTAACTGCTCGTATTGGATGTTTCCATACAATTTTAGAGATAGCTTTGCATAGTTTTTAACACTGTATATAATTAGTTCACTGATAATTAAAAAAAGGAAATGGGAAAAAAAGAAAAAACATTGTTCCTGATGTCAGAAATCATTTTTTTCCTTGGATTCCACTCTATTCAAACAAATTGGGGGTGGGGAGAATGATTTATCCTTGTAAATTATGAGCATTCTACTGACATAACAAACTAAAATAATTACCAAATGTGCTGTTTTTATTTCTGGAAGTGTACTAGGTATAAATAATTTTTAAATGATTAAAATGGAATTTAAACAGGGTGTTTGGATCCTGTTTATAACACAGAATTTTTTTAAATGCTAGTATTACACTGAAAGGGTTAATACTCAAAACTAATTGGGATTTATTTTTGCCTAGCAAATTTGGAAATGAACTGAAACTGCTCCCTGGTGTGAAAGCTGAATCCAGCAGCCACCTGCAGGATCAGCGACCAACACTGCCAGATGCTACAAAGCCTTTGATTTCCAGTAGCGAATTCGACCACATTTAACTCATGTGACATGAACCAACTGCAACAGCATTTTCAATCATTCTTTCTTATTTTTTTTTTTTTAAATACAAACTCTAGCTTTCTGCTCACTACATATGAAACAGCTGCAGTAGATAGATTCATTCAGACTCACAGCTTGGGCCCTGGTTTTCTTAATGGCTTCCATGATGGCATCCATGTTGAGGTAGCTTTTAGTGGTGGGAGCTGGGCCAACACAGACGGCCTCATCCGCCATTTTCACATGAACCTGAGGAGACAAATTTCTGCATTAACAGATGCGCCCAGCAAAAATAATTACCATCATCTGCAAATATACACAAAATTGCAAATCTGATTGTTCTGCATATCATTTATAGAGTCATATTTCTTTTTGAATATGCACTAAAAAGCAACAATGCAACAAATAAACTCAGGAACTCTATTACCCATGATTTCATTTATTACAGCCTAATTCATTGTCTAACCAAATAATTTCCATAATATCCCCTACCTATTTATGTAAAATCACAGCAAACAATTTTAGCCTCCTATTTATCAGTACATAAAGTTGATATCAAAAACTACCTTGTTACATGTAGCCAGGGTAGCCCAATATTTTAATAACGAGCACTCATGCCCAGTTCTAAGCAAGCTCCCCAGGAAGTTGGGATAATTAGAGGGACTGAATGGAGGGATGCAGTGAGTGTCCCTGCACAGCATCAGGTCAGCACCAGGCACAAATTAAAGCCTAGGACGAAAGAAAGAGTTCAATATCACAACACATGAAACAGAAAATCTTGAGAATCATTTAAATACTCTCGCATTCAATCTTCATCCATTTTACATTTATTCTAAAAAAAAAAAAAAATGATATGTGTATTAAGTTCTAAAGCCACTCAAAATTCAAGAATGTATGCTCCATTTTTAAGACTACTCACTCTATAATGTTTAAATCTATTTTGCATAATAGAGGCTAAGCATTAATATGAAAAAGAGTAAACTGCTTAGTTCTAAAAGGAGGCTATCCTTTTTAAATGATGAAACGATTCGTATATTTTTAAATGACTTTTCCTAATGGTTTTCCAGTTTAAGGAACTTCCAAACAGATTACAATTATTTTACAAGGCAGATATGTAAAACTGGAAAACAAACATATACCTAAACAGTTACGACCCACTCGTCTACCAAAAAAACAAGTCAGGCCGGGCATGATGGCTCACGCCTGTAATCCCAGCACTTTGGGAGGCCGAGGTGGGGGGATCTCGAGGTCAGGAGATGGAGACCATCCTGGCCATGATGAAACCCCGTCTCTACTAAAAAATACAACAATTAGCCGGGTGTGGTGGCACACGCCTGTAGTCCCAGCTGCTCGAGAGGCTGAGGCGGATGAATCGCTTGAACCCAGGAGGTGGAGGTTGCAGTGAGCCGAGATTGTGCCACTGCACTCCAGCTTGGCGACGGAGCAAGACTCCATCTCAAAAAAAAAAAAAAAATCAAGTCAAAGGTGGCAAATACCTCTGAGTATTTCTAAGTTATAGTCTTCAGTTGTGAAATAATTTTTAAATATTTTGTGTTAAATGAGATCTAAAAAAACTAAAAAAGTGGTCTTTTGGAAAGCTAAAAATTATCTTTGTCAATACAATAAATATTTCCCACTTTAGTAAAAAATTATATTGAGTATTGAAAGGTAAAAGATCAGATAAATGCCCAAGGGATTTTCAGGTCAATATCTTAATATATAAAATATCCAAATACATACATTCGGTAATTCTTTAATAATACCAATTGCAGGGAAAAGCAGCCCTGCTTGCGAAGGGCTCCTAAATATATTCAAAGCAAGGCCTTGTTGGTGGTTATTGCTGCCTGGTATGCCCCCAACCTCAAGTTGCTCCCCTGCCCTCAGACCAGGATGCCCCTTCCTGTATTACCCTATTGCCCTCTGCCCACTTCAGATCCTGTTACTATCCATTTTGTTGTTGTAATTGTGACTGTAGTTTTTTCTGTAAGAAAAAAATTGAGTACTTCACAATCCTTTAAAAATAATACATTTAAGTCTTTGTTTAAAGTTAAATCCAAAAAAAATAAAAATAAAAATAAAAATAAAAAAAAATAAAGTTAAATCCAAACTTGTTTTATTCTCCTTGGATACTATCTATTATTGAAGATGCACTTCACATTTCACACCTACCACTGGGTCTTTCCCAAGTACTTCAATCTAGGATGAATCTCCTTTCATCTAAACTCCAAGAGCAGTCAGTGCAAATTTTAGCATTTAATCTCATCTACCCAATAATCTCATTTTAACTGCTTTGCACACCATTACAATTTACACACTCTTCTCCACCAGATCAAAAGGTTATGCTTTAAATTCTTTTTTTAATCTCCCCTAGCCCAAAGTAAAGTGACAAAAGCTATTTACTCATAGATACACTTGGATAGCAGCTTGTTTAGAAACTTTCATTATCAAATGTTAAAGCCATTGTCTTTGAGGTACTAAAAAGTTGCAATGTTAAGTCGTTATCTTTGAGGTAAAAATTTACACCTAAATAAAGTCTTCTTAATCTTGGCCATATATATGGCAACAGGTGGTTTATGGAGGAAAAGAAATTAAAAGATACACATAGGCACGTGTTTATATGTCCAAAATTTCTACAATAAACATCCACTCCAAAGTAAAAAGGAGAGAGAGAATCCTAACAGTATTGACATTTTTACTTCCAGTCTTTTCTCTAAATACACTTTCATAATGATACCGCATATATAACTTACATCCTTTTGTTTTTTAACTAGCATAATAATCATTTTTCCTATGTTATCACAAATGTTTTATAAATGTCCTAAGAACTAACTCAGAGACTAATACATTTTACTGGGTGATTAAGATTGTTCCATTTAAAAACAAGATTACTCCAATACATTCAAATAAATTATGCATTAAAAGCAGGTCAAAACTGCTATAGACTTTATAAGGATGGACTAAACATAAACTGTTTATAAAGGATTGGTTGGCTTCTTTTCCTCTACTTGCAGAAACAAATCTTACTTCAAGGGATATGGTACATTCACATCTCAACAAGCCCACAGTCTGGTCCAAGGTCAGTAGCAGCAAAAAGCCATGCAAAAGAAAACATTAAAATCCTCTGCTGCCTTAGTTAAAGAGACACTTAAGAGTCAACCTGGAAAGAACAATCTAACAAACTTTAGAAACTCTGTTTCAATTTTATTGTCCCTGTTGCATGAAATGTGTGACGTGTTTTCTTTAGCTTAATAATACAAAACAAACAGTATTCAAGCAACGCAGATGCTGTTCTGCAAAATGACTTAATACTGCATAGGCTGACTAGATACATTTATGTTTCAAAAATTTCAACATCTTGAAAAATATAAATTCATTTTTATACATTTTAATGGCAAAGGAAATATATAACCACCATGGAAAGTTTAAACTGGGGTAAACTAATCAATTAAGCAGGAATTTGCTGGCTATATATTTCAAAAAGAAAAATTAAGCATTTTAAGTACTAACACTAAGTATAGTTTGTCTTCATAAACTTTTCTGTTCTCAGAAAACCAGTCGAGGTTTCTAAAGCAGATTATTGGTTTTCCCATCAAGCATTTAGTTTTATATTTTGAATTTTTTTATTCTTCAGAGAAAAATTACTTGCATCACCTTATTACTCGTATGAGCCTAATTTCCAAATAACAAACTAGGAGAACAACAGATGTGTATTTTATCTTACAGGATTGAGAAAAATTATCTTCCTTACTAACTTTTAAAAAATAAATGTAAATTCTTGGATATAAATAGGTTAAAAATTATGCCTGCACTTCAAAACTTGTGACTGGCAGAAAATTTCATATTAGTCAATTAGATGCCTAAAATACACTGAAAAAGATATTTTATTTGGTCCCTGTCCTTATCAAATAGATTGCATATGAGTGACAAAAAGTGCTAGGCCAGACGTTATATTTAGAATAAAACTCAATGGTGTCAGCAAAAGCTTTTCAGTACCTTCTAAACTAGTACATACTAGAAAGACAGGGAAGTTGAGCAGCTTTGGAAATGTTTCTTCATGCCTAGAGATGTTCTGAAACCTATCACTCAACAAGATCCATAGTGAAGTGGACACTATTTACCATGACTGAGAATACAGGAGTTTCCTTTGTGATGCCCTTCAATGCAAGACACTAGGTAGAATACTCCAAGGATGACATAATACAGACTAGATGCACTCCTTGGCTGAAAGTAAAAATACTCTACATAACCCAGCCAGACTTCAGTATCTATCAAATCTAATCAAATCCTCCAAACATTACTAACCAATGAAAACTATTCTGAAAGTAGAATGGTGGTTGCCAGAGACTGTAGGGTGCCTAGAATGGGGAGTTATTATTTAACAGGTAGAGTTTCAGTTTTGCAATATGAATAGCGTTCTGAAGATGGATTGTAGTGGTGGCTGTACAACAATGTGAATGTACTTAACACCACTGAACTGTATACATAAAATAGTTAAGATGGTAAATTTCTTTATAAGCATTTTACCACAATTTAAAAAAATAATAAACTAATGAGGGTCTCATTAAAAAAAAAAAAAAGAAAGAAAATTACCCTGAAAGACTAAAAGATTAAAGAAAGGAAAGCCAACTGCATCAATCTTAATTTGAAGAACTAGAAAACAAAAATCAAACCAGATAAAATCCTACTTAAAAAAAAAAAGAAACAGAACTCTATTTCATTAAAAGTATCTAAAGATACTTATATACGTTTTTAAAAACTAACATTCCAGCACGTCCTTTCCCAGAAAGGCAATTTGTTCATAGAAAACAAAATAATTTTTTAAAAACATTCACTTTGATTCTATTTTGAAAACTACATGTGTAACACCAAGAAGTATTTATTCATGGTTATTCTGGATGGCAGAATTAGTGACAACTATTTTTCTTCTAAGATAACTTACATGATTTTTCAAAGTGGTAAAATTTAAAATTACAGGGAAAAAAGAGAGTAGGTTTTTGCCAGTTGCAAAATTCCCAGCCCATTTTCTACAACCCTGTTTTCATTTTACAAAAGGGAACTGATGCTGAATCAATCCTGGAACCAAACAAAGGTGTTTTGGGTTTTTTTATTGTTTGGGTTTTTTGTTTTTTTCTTTTAGTCTTTGTCTTGCAAGCATGCATTCCTGAGGATACAGTAAACAACAAAAGAATGAAAACCAGCAGGAGAAGAACTATCTTCTCATACCACTGACCCCTTAGTAGAAGCACCAA